TTCAGGACAGGTATTTTAAACACCTTAAATACTCCACAGGAAGAGAGGAAAGCTGCTTTCCAAAGGAGAAGAATAGCAACCTATAGCTGTGGGTAGGCCCAGTTAATCTCCTGTTATCTGTTACGATGGCCAAGTTATGCTCTTATCAGTGTCAGTTGTGCCCCTGCCAATGCAATTACAAAGCCTCATTGGCTTATATCTCATAGTGATTGTGCTGCTGCCGAATTCCCCTGGCTGGAGAGGGGCAGGGGCTCTGTCTGCAAAATGGCCTGACCCAAGCAAACCTACTCCCTGCTGCAGCAAAGCTCGTTGTTGTGATCCCTAATCATCCCTAATCCCGGTGGTTGATTCCCCTGATTATGTGTCAGAACAGGAGTGTAACCTATTTAAAAGGAGCTGTTTTCAAATCAGCAGCACATCCTCTCATTTAGTTAAGGTACGAGGGTCTGACACAAAAGGTGTCTCTGAAATGTCTCTGGACTGCAGCACAGGAAGACAGCACGTGTCTGTCAGGATAACACTTAGCTCAGATTGGGCTGTTTGCCCTATTTTCTAGCTTTTTGGCTACTGTACAGATAATAGAACCCCCCCAGAGCAGAGGAAGTCTGGCACTGAGCAGGATTCTTTCGAGTAATGCATGGCCCCAGTGGGTATTAATCCTAGTTTAGGCAGGTGTATGCCAGTGGTCATGGAAACTAAATATAGATTTCCATGTTAAAGGTTTAGTTTCTATAATGTCATTTTATGAAATGCCAGAGAGTCTGCAGTCTGCAGTTGTCCTGTGGTGATGGGGTTCATGAACAGCAAAAAGAAAAGCCACAAGAAATTATTAATGTTGGGTCTGGGGGATCAAGTAATTGGCAAAAAAAATGTTTACAGAAACATTTAAGAGAAGATTGAGACTTTGCAAGTATTTCTGCATGCAAATCACTATGTTGATTTATCCAAATACTACTGAACACCAAACCAGGTCCCAACCATAACTAGAATGGAGCTGACTCACCAGATTTATCTATGACTGTTCATTTATCAGAGCAGCTTTATTTCTTCTGTTTGTAGGCATAATTCACTTTTCTAGCCACCAGATCAGATCACAGTTGCATCTTGTCTTGAGTGTCAACACAAATGTGTCCCTGTCCTGTTTAAAATCATTCTTTGCTTCCCGTATCTTCTGTGAGTTGTGTCATGGTGGAGAAATCTCCATGGGCTTTGATTTCCCCTTAGTTCTTACTTCTCCTCTACACATGTTACCATGCTGATTTGTCTTTTCCTCATGCTGTAATTGGGCTGGTGCCACTGTGTAATTTTTAACTGTGTGCACTATCAACAGACCTCCATCTGTCTCTCCTCCACAGCTTCCCAGCCTGCCGTTATAAATATCTGCCAAATCCTTTTCCAAAGAGAGGATCACCAGATTCCAACTGTTTGCAAAATAAGAGCCGCCGCCAGAAATCCTCTCCCACCGTCTGCAACCTGTGCAGAACCTGTCCCTGCTCGGTGTGAGGTGGCACTGCTGGCTCTGTAACTTATTGTCCCTCGGAAGCGTGCACTGCTGCAGAGGGCTCAGCATATTGCTCAAATATCTCACTGTGTGTGTCATTTTATTAGACAATAACCTTCAATAGCCATCAGGTGATAAAAAACAAACTAACTCGAGGGATGTTGGGTTTTTTCCCCTTTTAAAACTCAATTCTGATTTAAAACATGCTGTGGGGTGGCTTGGTTCCAGTGTTGTTTTATAAGATGCTTTACTTGATCAGGGACTCAGTGCTTGCCCCTTTTCCAGCTGTCACTTGGGGACTGGGGACCAGCTACTGTGATCTAAATTCAGAGTAACTGATAGGACTTGTTGACTGTTCATTTGTGTTGCTGAGAGCAGTTTGATCTTCCAACTCTCTGTGCTTATATATCAGAATAGATTCTTAGAAGAATTAGCACCAAACAAGGCAATTTATTGATTAGATTGTGCATTCAAAAAAAAAAAACACAAAAAACCCAAAAAACCAAACAGAAAGGAAATTTTTAATGTGAATAAAATAAAATTATGTATAAACGCAGTTGGATAAAGTAAAAAATATAGATTATGATGTAAGTGCACTTTAACTCTGTTAAAGCCATTCTCATGACATTCCATAAATGGCATTGATTCAGAGCTGTGTTAGGCTCATGTGGCTTCAGTTGTCTACCTTGGGCTACAATCCTCTCACATGTTAGTGTTTGCTGGTGGTATAGCAGCTTACTCTGGCTGGGCAGTTACCAAGGAACCTCTTCAGATGCTGCTGCAGACATCAAATTAATAATAAATGTCTGTTTGAATAAAAGTCTATCTAGCTAAAGTCAGATCCAAGGTACAAGATTCCTGTTCTGTCCATGAAGTATTGTCAGATATCAGCAGAAGGGGTTTTCCACGGTTATTTCAGGGTGTTTGGATCTGCTGCATCTTAGTTCTGCAGAGCTCTGCAAAGGAACATAAGGATTGTAAAGCAGCTTGGGGTTTGACTCCTTCTAGTCTATGTTCTGAGTAACACAGTATTTTCAAGAGACAGAGAAGTGGGTACCATGTGTTTGACATGAGCAGGGACCATGGGGACAGTGGCTGGAGAATGGGGTTTTGTAGCTAAGTAGGGGGAAGCACCAAAGAAACTGGGGAATTTGTTTCGTGGTGTATTGTCAGGTTCACATACCAGAATTCCCATTGTCTGGATTTCACTGTGGATTTGGTGTCCAGTTTTGAAGGTTTTAGGACAATAAATTCCGTGATTTCTTAGGCGGGTCTGCTACCACTTAATAACACGTTATGACAGCAGAAAAATATGTACAAACAAGCCTAAGCCTGCAGGACAGCTGTACTTACTCCCAAATGAATAATATCCCCAGCCATTGCCGGGGGTGGCAGGGAGTAAAGAGAAAAGTGGAATTGGAGTGACCGGACGATCCTGGCAGTGATGTGCTGACTGCAGGGGAGCTGGGCTGGGGATATGGCTGTGCTTGCAAGATTGAGATCTAGCCCTTATTCAAGTCTGATTTTCTGGAGCAGGATTTTCTTGTAAAGGAACAGACGTGATATGTTTTAAGTATTTGGGAGATAAAAAGCAGATGGCATTGATTAGCTAATTAGTAATATTTTCTGCAACTTATCAGCTGTGCTGATATGTGTAAAGTTTGCAAAATCTTGGGTTGAATCTTTCTCTCTTTGACTTGTTGAAGAAATCAACTATTTTAAAATCTGGAGGGGAGGGAAAGTTATGTAGAAATGTGTAATCTTATGCCTAGAAGAAATCTGTTAATCTTTTTCTTTGAATTTATATTCAGGGCTCATTCCTTCATTTTTTTAGGGGAATATGCACAGTGAGGTTGCAGGTCTCCTAACTCTTGCCTTGATTGTGTGGTGCATGGTCTGGGATGCCAGAGGTTCTGCTCTTCCATATTCCTCTTTGTGGGTGTGCTCATTCCTTCCACTTTTGCATTTTTTATGGGGACAAAGCAAAACACTGCTTTTTATTTTACGCCAGGCTCACTTTTAGCTTGTGTCTTCATGAACCCTTTGGCCACAGCAGTGCCCTAGCAGGACTTCTGCCAAGTGTTGGCCGCCTCTGTGGCCACTACTATCACAGTGGTCAGTGCTGTTTTGGCCAGAGTGTCACTGGGGTGTTCAAGGCCACTCTGACCTTGACTTACATTGGGCAATACCTTGATGTTGTCTCTATGATAGCAATTGTTCATCATTTAGGGCAAGATCAAGTGCCTTGCCAAGATGTTAATATAAGAAGGAATGTCTGAGAAAGAATATCAGGCTTTCAAACCCTGTTGGGTGCATAGCAAAGTCTTCATACAGCCAAAACCCACAAGACTTACCCAGTTTCTCCAGCACTGTGGAGAGCCCCAGGAGGGTTTGTGGGCAGATACCATCTCTGGTAGTCACAGTCGTGGGTGGACACAGCTTTGGTTTCCCAACAAACCCCATAATTAAGGCTTATTGCAAATTCTCTGGAGGTTTGAGCTGTGCACCAGCACCACCCCAAAGCCTTTGATGTGCCAAGGTCCCCATGCAGAAGCTGTATTTTAATTGCCAGCAGGTAGCAGGAGTGACGCATGAGCTGTCAGCTGGGCCACCTGTGGCAGTGGGGAATGAAAAAGAGCTTTGTTTTCCTCTTCTAGGGAACTGTCCTCCCTTGCAGATACTCTGCAGACAGCTTTGCTGTGCTTATCTCCCACTGAAAACTTCAAAACAGGGCATAATGCACGTTGAGGTGGGACCCAGACATTGTGTTGGTCAACTGCCTGAGTTGTGTTCCATCAGAACTGAAATTGCCACAAGTGAGACTTCTGTCTTAACATGGAGCTTTGTATTTTCCATGGAGTGCAGTGTGGAAGCTTTACCCTTTCTATTTCCATCAGAATGACACTTTTTATTGTTTCTTAAACTGAAGAAACAACAAATTCTGCACCCTCTCTCAAGCACGGTCTTGTTAATGTTCTTTGAAACATGACATGTGTCGTGGCCGTCAAACTGCAATGATCCCGTTGCTTCTGAAATGAGAAAAACATGTCACTTTTGGCTCCAAGTAACACAAAAAGAGAGGCATATTCTAGATAGGAGGTGCATGGCTGCCAAAGATGAAAGAAAAATATTATTACTTTTGGAAATTAATTACGATTAATGATAATTTAATGAAATGACATTGTCTTCACCGCTATCACTAATGAAATGTTGGAGAGTGATAAAACAGATCTTGTTAAATAGAGCGAGAATCTTGAGTGGAACAGCTTTGTGACAGCAGACTGTGTGCACAAGTCTTGAATTCCCATTTTTTTGTCACAGTAGTTTAAGAAAGAAGATAAAATGAAGGCTGCATGGCAAATAATGCACACATGAGGTATTTAAAGGTCTTCCATTAAGCAAACAATTCTGAACTCCTGAATAGCATGCTGATGACTGAGCACTGCTCCTTAGAAATGCTAACCCTTCATTAAAACACTTCCCTTGTTTTCCTTTGCAGGCAAACCAGAGAACAAGAAACCCCACCTGACTTTTTTTATTTCTCAGACTATGAGAGACATAATGCAGAAATAGCAGCATTTCATCTGGACAGGCAAGTAGAACGGATTTGCATTAGAAGAAAAGGGGAAATATTGTGATAAGTTGCTGCACTTGGCCAGCTCTGTAACTGAATTACTTTTAAAAAGTGGAAAGTCGAACAAAGGTGGGCAAACTCCATGAATAAATGAAATGCAGATGATGAAAGGGTAGATTAATAATTAGGAAATGCGACTTGCTCTGGGAACGAGAAGCCTGGCAATAAGTAATTCTCAAAAAGAAGGAGAAGTTATATCGAAGAGAAGCTGAGAAATTAATTTCCCCTGCGATCTCAAAGTACATATGGAGAGGACCCATCTCCAGGGGAATGTGTCACTAAGTGTGAAGGGAGTCTGGCTCACTCCAATTAGCTCCAGGGCAGAGTGAGATGTGGGGAGTGGTGTGAGCAGTCAGAGGGGAGTAATCGAGGTGGGAAGGGAGTTCTGGTTTCACAGCAAAAAGCTGGGACTGTCCCAGATCAGGAGCACATTTAGGCCACAAGTTAGTGTGAAGGAGAGGACATTGGTGGTCATCTCATGGTCCTGTCAGCTGAAAATGTCCCCCCAGGCAGAGATAGTGCAGGGGATGGTGGATACCCCGAGACTGGCAAGGGACTGCAGCCCTCTCAGCCTGCCCAGGTTAGGGGTGGGAATTAAAAATTAACATTAAAATTAAAAATTGATTAACAATAGGGCCAGTAACAATGGCATTTCACAGGTTGAGTCAGAACTTAATTGTCTCTCACACTGTGAAGTGCTGAGAAACATCCTTTAGAAAGCTTGAAGCTTTGGGGCAACAAATTATTTGGGGGGTTGTGTAACATTGCTGCCTTCTGGGACGATGGTTGGGGTATGGGAACCTGTCAGCGAGTGGCACAGGGTAGATTTGCTGTTAGGAGCCATCCTGATGAGATCCTTCAGGGATCTTCTCTATTTTATTGTTGTTGACCTTGGTGTTGATCCCTTCTGCTTTGTGTTTTATATTGCCATTTTAAGCAGATGGTGCTGTATCAAAAAAGCATTAGTGGAGTTCCTACGGGGGGTATGTTAAATATCCACACACTAAGCAGGAAAAGCAGTTGCTACCCAGTGTAGAAAATCTGAACAGCAGACAGTGGATATAAAAATCCCACCTATGGGGAGACTTTGTATGGGGCCTTTGCTCTTTTACTGTATCTAATAGCAATGCTTAGCAGGGAGTTTTTTATGATCTATTAAGGCAGGGGAGTTTGGGGTAGAAAGAGCCTCTTCTCCCAGCCTTTGCCCATGGGAAAATTTTTAGTCTCAGGGAGATTGTTTAGGTTGGTGTAAGGGTATTAAAACAGAGAGGAGCAGAAGGAAATAAATCAAACACATACTAAGGCTGTCAGAAAAAGAATTACATGGTGTTTATGGAAGAAAGAGGCTGAAATCCCATCCCCCAAGTCACTGAAAAAACTGGTGAGCAAAATGCATGTCATAACCATCAGGAAGTAGCACAAAGTGAAAAAATAAATTTCCACTGTCTCTTATTTCTGGAATTGTATGTCTTCATTTTTATCATGGAACAATGCCCCCCATACCCTCCTGTATTTTGCTCCATGCTATGGAGGCAAGTCAGAGCTCATCACATTCAGGACATATTTTGTAATATATTATATGAAGGATTATCCAGTTTAAAGTTGATGGGCTTTTTGCTACTTAAAGGCCACAGATAAATGTGCTTTCAGAGTGTAATGAAGCTTCCTAAGACCTAACACTACTGTTACATTTTAATCCTTTACATAAACTACCTCTTTTCTTTCTCTTCCAGGATCCTGGATTTCCGTCGTGTGCCACCAGTTGCAGGTAGACTGGTTAACATGACAAGGGAAATACGAGATGTTACTCGTGACAAGAAGCTGTGGAGAACATTTTTCATCTCACCAGGTAGTCTTGGAAATAACACTATATTCTTTCTATCCCGCCGAACAGATACTTAAGGGAACGATGTGTAGATTGCTTAATTGCTCAGATATTTCTAATAAAACTGTCTCCTAGACCTTTGAATAAAAATAAATGTGGAGACATAGCTTACAAAGAAGACTGTATTGTTTTGAACTGACTGCCTTTTCCCCTTGACAAATTATCCTCAGAGACAGGCTTTTATGTTCACCAAAGCAATGTATTCAACAAATGTTTTATGTAGAACATTTTCTAAAGCAATTTTCTGTTGCTCTCAGTTTACCCTAAACCTTATTACCTGGCCCATTAGTTATCTAGACTTTTTTTCCTACTGCAGTGTGATCTGTCACTTCTGTTGGTCAGATGCATTTATTTCTGGTTTTGACTGGAGGACCAAAACCTAATTTTCTCAGAGTCATTTAGGTTTTATTACAACAGGAATTTGGAAAAAAAAAATCAAGAAAGATACATGACATATCCTGCCTCCAGCTTGAAATCTCTGCTGAGCAGAGGGCAGACTAGAAATTATCTGAGTTGTCCCCAGTACTCACTCTTGCTGACCCAGAAACCAATACCACTCTCTATTACTCATCACTCTTTCACAACATCTTGTGGACCCAGTCAAGGATGGAGCTCCACAGGGTGGGAATTATACAAACACAGGATAAAACTCTGCCCTGCTCACCAAAAGGTACAACTGGAATTGGGAAAAATGGGCAAAGGGTGGGAAAAAATATCAACATCTCTGTAGCATCTGAGATGTTGAGATGGAGAAACAAGAGCTTTGAGTTAAGGCACAAAAATAATGCTTAAGTTTGTTCTTACATGTAGAATATATAGGTTAACATTCAACTTAAAGCATGATGCTGCATTCCAGTAGCTTAACTCACATTGTTTCAGCTGCGTGCAAATGTGTGTTGCTGAACTCAGGCTGTGACTTGTGTAAGAGGCAATCTGGAGCAGAAACCTCCAGAGATCTCTTCCCTTGCTCTGTGTGTGATTGGCCAGAAGCTGTTTATCCCAGATCCCTAAAGTAAAGATCCAAAGACTTAATTACAGTTTCTCCCAATGTAACTGCAATTTATTGCTGTTAGCGAGAAACCAGAGCCCTGTCGTTGCAGTGCTTTCACTCTTAAAATGTTTATCACACTTTTCAGATCCCCAATAAAGTCATTATTACGGCTGTTATTTTTAGCTTCATAGTTGTGTTCAGCTCTGCAGGACACAGTTGAGCAGACAGTTATTTATTACAGTAACTTCACTTGTAAAATACGTTACATAATTACAGGTTTCCTCTTGCCCCGTATTATGAGCGCTCCAATTTTACAGGCACAGTTATGGTGACAGCAGTGACACTACACGGTGACAGTACATGGTGACAGTACACGGTGACAGTACATGGTGACAGTGCATGTTCACCAAACCTGATGGGCAGACATTTTTGTATTTGCATCAGTTGCTTTCCCTCCCTCTCTGTCTCTCTCTTTCTACTTTTTTTTTTTTGACTGGGCTTTTTGTAGGCAAATAATCACACAAAAATTATGGCAAAAAAATCTTGTGACTGTCTACGTGCACAAGGTGCTTTGGCTCATTTAAAACATAAGTCATTTTATTCCCATTTTGGTAAGTAAGACACAGATTAGTAGGTTTGCTTGATTTTTAATCTTCCCACGTTATATTTCAAGGCTTAGGAGTGAACTTCAGTGATTTCTGAGAATTACAAAACTGTTCTCACATACTGAGAAGCTTACAGCAGCCAGAGCAGGGCAACACAGAGTTAAGGCTGCCAGTTCGGATGAAGATCTTTATCTTGTCATTATGAAATTCCAGACATCCAAGGGATGATCCAAACATAATCCTTTATTCAAATTTATTTAGAGGCCTCAGATAAATTCAATTAAAATACTTGATTAACTATGAATCAGGCTTTTCTGGAGAATAAAGTGCTTAAGCAATTAATGTTTTCTTTCCCTTTTACGTTTCTTAAATCAATATACTTTGCTTAAATCATGCTGGTTACTTGTCAGAGTTCTTCCCTACAAGTCCCCAGTTTAATTAGTCAGATTCTCATTAACGTATGCCCAACCTCTGTCTTGTATTTCATACTGACCTTAAAAGGCAGACATTAATTAATGCTTAATGAAAAAATAATAAAGATCCTAAATTAAGCATTTAGAAACAACTTCAGAAGCCTAGCAGGCAGCTCAAGCAGCAGATTGAGGGCAGAGAAGGAAGAGGCAGGTGCAGGGGTGAGACTCGTGGTCTGGAAAGGGGAGGATGGAGAGGGAAAAGGGAGCCTGGGGAAGACTGGAAGAGGCTGATTTGTCCCCTCTGGCAGATGAAGGGCAGTTGGTTTTGATGGAGAACTGCTCACAAAGCTGAGAAGTTAAGTGTGACATATCATACTTGCACAAACCAGTCTGTGCACCTATTGAGGACTCTCTGGGACTCTCTTTCAGGTGGCTTTGTCACTGCATCTCTATCCCCAGAGGTGCTCAGTGACAATTAATGGTCGTGCTGGCAATACATCCCTCTCCATTCACACATATACCTCTCTTAAAATTAAACGAGCACTAAATGAAATTGGTTTCATAGAACACTCTCCCCTCGGGCTGGGAGCCCATGGTTTGCAGTGGGAACCCTCAGAGGGTGGGCATTGATGATGCTCATCACTGCACTGTGTTATTCCCTGGACCAGCATGGGGATGTGTTGGAAGAAACCTCACTGCATTCCCACCCCTGGGACACCTCCCTTGTCCCATCAGACATGGAAATCAGGGCCAGGGAGCTGCAGGCTTCAGAGCACAGTGCCGAGCAGGATCCCTTCTTTCACTGGAAAGTGGTGATGGCTCTGAGCAGGCAGGTCAGTTGATGCATTAGGCTGCACTCAGAGAGGAAGCAGATTGCAGAAAAGTGCACTTCCAGGCAGTTTGGACTAAAACATGAAAAATGGAATTAGGTCAGTAATTATTTAAATTAATTTTACATCCTTTGCAGAAGGGCAGACTGCAGTAGCCCTGCTACTCTCACAAATGAATGGTAATTTGCTAGGAAAAAAGAGACATATTAATGATGTCAGCCTTCGTTTTGGAAGTAATTGAGGCAGCAGCTTAAAGAAATCAATGTTACACAGCTAGTAAGCACTATGTTTTTGTTCATATTAACCAATTCCAAGGGATTATGGATTCTTTTTCCCCTCTCAGCATACAATAGCAATTCTGAATTACCTATTATTTAGAGGAGGTAAAGGAAAGATCTTTTCATGCATTGCTTTAGTAAATATTCAGGATTCTTTCCAGTATTCCAATTGGACAGGCTTACTAAATGTCCTCTATTAACAGTCATGCAAAGCTCAATGAAAGAATTGCTCTGCCAAGCAATTTGCTTTAAGGTATCCTCCCTCGTTCCTTTTCTTCCTGAGAACTATTGTTCAGCTATCAGGATGATGCCCAGAAAATGTACAGATGAGTACACAGACACTCTGGTTCTTAATTGTTGTAATTAGTTGGAGTTTCGATCACCAGACCATGATTTTTGCGTGCATTTCATTATGAATCATAGCCATTCCTCCTCAGATAATGAAAATCAGACATTGCAACATGGGATTCTCTTGCCTTTTTAGTGCTTTGGGGAAACAGTTTTGGTTTATAACGAAGAAAGAGTTTGCATGTTGCAAACTCGCAGCATTTGAACATTTCAGCAAGTATAAACATCCCTCCCTGCCTGCTTTGCCAGCACTGCTGCTGTTGCCATTTCTACCCACTCTGCAGGAGCACAAACTCCTGGCTGTTTCTCCTTTTGTGGGTGTACTTATACAGAAACATCTTTATCTGCTGAGAGGAACATAAGGTTTGGGCAATTTTAATGGGAGGACAAGGACCATGCTCCAGTAGGGAGCTCATCTCCCCTTTCCCTCTTATTTTGCCTTGGGAAAGCCAAATCCTACTCTCAGCATGGGATGGCCATGAAGTGCTGGGCTTGTGTCTCTAGCTGGAATTTCACCCTCAGCCTGCTGTGCAGAATGTGGGTCACCTACTTAGGTTTCAAAGAGCCTTGCTGCTGCACCTTGAAGTCTTAAATGATAACTGTGGGTTTCTATATTTGGTACCTCTTTTTTTTTTTCCCTACATTTTTAAGAAACCTTAAAAATGAATGTTTCCACAGATAATTCAGGCTGCTTCATCTTACTGCCAGTATATAAGAACTAAGGTAGACATAATAAGATGTCTGTTTTGTATCAATCAAGGCAGTTAATTTCATTAGCAGTAGTTTGAGATACAGCATCCTTTCACCTCTGCTATCCCCATAAAATGGACAGGAGCTGTGGAGAGTAGGTCTTAGCCCACAGGAAGAATAACTGCTGGCAGAAAAAGCTTTGCCATTGAAAATAACTTTTCAGTTCTTAGTGAGAAATACACTTTTGGTTTTACTGCAAGTTCACTGCCTTAATGACAGGATGCATCTTGCCATTACTTTGGGGACTGGATGCCTTGATGCAGGCAATTGGGGCTCTGTGGGAAGATCAATAGCTGGTGGATCCCAGCAGGGATGAGCAGGATGAGTGGCTGGAATGGTGCAGGCAGCACACGTGCTCCCTGCATCACTCTGCAGCAGCAAACACCATCACTGCCACAGCCCCCAAGCCTTCCTCGAGATTTATCTGGATACCAGTGTGTGATTACTGTCAAATGATTAGTCCCAGCTGCTTTCATTGACAATACAGAGCAGGGTTTCATTGTTCCCAAAGTTAAATTCAGAAGCAAACTATTAAACACAGTATTTATCTTCCCACTGAGCAAAATGCTGTGTTTAATACAATTCCTTTTTTGAAAGGTCAGATTTACATAGTGAGCAGCAGAGGCTGTGATGGCACAGCGTGGGGGGCATTGCTGGGCCTTTTGCTCTTTGCAAAACTGTTGTGGTGTCAGATAACTGAGCACTGGCTTCCTGCTGCCAGGTGGGAGTCAGGTCACAGAAAGCCCAGAACATAAATTGTCTCAGGTGGTCACGATAAATCCACGTGGTTCCCTCCCTCCACAGATGAGGGGGTGATGCTGAGACAGCTGAATTGAAGTTCAAGCCCCACTGCTTAAAATCCATGGAAACACAAACCCTGGCTGCAGCACAGGGAAAACCTGACCTTCCCACTGAGGCAGCTGGTGCCCAGGAAAGAAGGGATCTCTGTATTCCCTAACTCTTCTGCTTTAGCCTTCAGCAAGCAGCATCTGCCTGTGATTTCTTGTAAATCATCCCTTGTGGCAGCTTGGAACCCCTTGAAATATTTTATCTGCAATAATTTCTTTTAAGGATATAAATCACAGATGTTTTCCCCCAGTTTTTGTTGGCTGAGAATATCCCAACCTTCCTGATGGCCCATCTGCAGCTGGCAGTACTGCCCACAGCTGCTTGGACAACTCTACCTTCATCCTGAATGATGGAACAGGTTCACAGGGAGACACGAAGCCTTCCTGGGTTTGCCAGGATGGTTAAAGGTGAAGGTGAGGCACCTGTGTTAGCCCTGCAAAAGCTGTGCCAAGTCCAGCTGCCGTTTTTGAAAAGGAAACCCATGAGAGGTTCTAGACTGCAGGGCACCGTGCCCAGGACTTGCCTTAGATTGGGTTTGTCTGGGTTTTGACTTTATACTTTTAGACTAATGAGATGAATGAGTCTGAAAGAGGCTACTGAGACAGTCCTGGAGCTGGTGGACCTGGTGCACAAGGAGAAGCTGAGAGTTGCAGATTTTTTTAACCTAGAGAAGCTGGCCTGGAGCTGTAGCTTGGACCAGAAGCCTCCAGAGTCCCTTCCAACCCAAGTTTCCCTAACTTCATCCATTCCCATGCAATTTGTAAAAAGGGCTTCAAAACTTCTCTTTTGCAGTTATAATATTACTGAGCTGCATAAAATGAAAAATTAGTGGGATTTCTGTTTAGAAGCAAACAGGCATATCATGGAATGAGCAGCACCAGGACTTGTGCTGGGGTTAGTAGGAAAGAGCCAAGCTGAGCAGCTTATTGGCCAAGGACATGATCACTTCTCAGCTCATGGGAAGTCTCAAGATACTGTTCCTTTAATTAAGATGCTAAGGGACTAAGTATGCCTTATATGTGAGGAAGAGCTTTCAAAATAATTTTTAGGAGAGAACATTCTGCTTGGTAAAACACTTGAATTACAAAATCAGAAGTACAGACTTGCTGAGTGCTCCCTTCCTTCCTTTTGTAATTTCTGTTCTTCATTTTCTCTTGCCTGAAGTACTTTTCTTCTCGTAATTGCCAACAAAGCTTTTCGCCACAGAGTAAATATTTCTGGACTTAGCCAGGATGTATTTAACTGGTATGATCCAACCCTGTGAATGTAAATATACAGTTTGGGTTAGTTGCTCGGAGCAGGGATGGATGGGTGGCCCTTATGAGTCAGTCACAGCAGAGGGATGTGAAAGGGCTTTCTCTAGAGCAAAGTTATCACAACTTCATGGACAAATCTGATGGACATCAGTAGAGGCTTGGAAATGAAAAGCTGAGACAAACTGTCAAGTAGTAACACATCAGCCTTACAGTCCACTTATTTGGTGTAATTCCATGGTTAGCAGCCAGTCCCAGATAATGCAGCTATTTAATACAGTCAAACACATTGTGAGACCTTATGTTCCCCTACTTCTCCTTCTCTAAACACAGCTCCTTGCTGTGTTCCTCGCTCCCTCCTGTTAACTCCAGTATTGTTCCCTATCCCCTTGACTCACTGTCTCCCACCAGCACTTCACCATCTCCATGGGGCACTTGGCTGGTTGTAGGTTGGGTTTGGTCTGAGGGGATGTCACAGTGATGCTGCAGGGCATCACTGTGATGAAAACCCACCAGCTTACCTTTCCAAGCCACCTGGTCTTCTGTGGCAGGCAGCAAATCACCTCCCTCTTTTCCCATCCCTTCCTGCCTCGTTTATACTGAGCCTGTCCAAAGGGAGAGGAGCTCAGAAAGAATATTTGAATTTAGAAGCCTAGTGGGGAATTAGGATGCAATGTGACTTCTCAGCTTCATGCATTACCATGAGGAAAGGGCACACTCTTCCTCTAATGACATTTTATATGCATAAAGCAATGTCAAAAGAGTTGTAGCACACTGACAAGAGCAGCAGTGTGCTCCTATTCCTGTTTGTAGCCCAGCGTTGGTGGGCTTTGGGGATGAGCTGCTCTCTCTCACCTTCAGTGAATTCCCGTGGGCAGGGTGTTCCTGTAAAGAGGTGGGTGTTCCTCTTGGTACAGAAATAGGTGGTGGTGGTTTTGGGGAGGTTTTAAGGTAACACAAGTTCCAAAACCTGCTGCAGATTCTTTTTCTGCGGTTGTTGGAGTAGTGTGAGGTGTGGAGGAAGAAATTTGTGTTTGGGATGTGTGCTGACAGAGTTACATCTGTGCTATTTCCACCTTCTACACACACCCCCACGGGAGCCTGCATGGTAAATAATTCTCCGTACTTAAACTGCCAGTTCTTCTCACACCAACAAGGCAACAAGTAAATGAATGAAATGTTCTCTGTTCTTAAAGAAACGAGCCAAGGTTTTGAAAAATTACTTAATTTTGGGCATCTGCCGCTTGTTCAGCTGTGGGATTTGGGGTTCCAGCCTGGGGTAACAGATAGAACCTAAAGAATGTATCAGTCGGGGGGAAAAAAAAGGAGAAAGAGAAGGATTTAAAAAACAAACAAACATGGTTTTGGAATATATAAATAGACTGGAAATAGTCACAGAAAGCTCAGCACAGGGCGTGATCACAGCCACTGAAATGAATGTCTTTCTAGTGGTTTCAGTGGAAGAAAACTATGTGTGGTAACAGGGTTTTGGATTTATTTCTGCTCCTACATACATCAGTGCTTTTATGAATTCTCAAATACTAATTTAAGGGCAGGTTTTATAACTCTTTTCCTTTATTTGCCAGCCAACAACATCTGTTTCTATGGGGAATGTTCTTACTACTGCTCAACAGAGCACGCCCTGTGTGGAAAACCAGATCAGATTGAAGGGTCCCTGGCTGCTTTCCTACCAGATTTGTCTTTAGCAAAAAGGAAAACCTGGAGAAACCCTTGGAGACGTTCCTACCACAAGCGCAAGAAAGCAGAGTGAGTAGTGGTGAGCAAAGGGAGAGCAATGGGAAAATAAACCAGTGCTGCAGTCACTGCCCTGGCTGTCCTGGCCTTAGGACAGCGTCTGTATTTCTCCATCTCCTGGGAAGGGACAGGGCACTTAATATGCCAGGAGCTCCAGCTTGTGGTCCTGAACCCAAAAGGACCTTCAGTGGCATAATTCCCTCATGGGACAAATACCTCCAGTGGCATTGACAGGATGCAACGGGACCTGTCTTAAGTCCTATCAGAGGGAGAAAGATTCACTGCTATCAGCAGCCCTAAGCAAGTCTGAGATGTTTTCATCATATGACTGATGGTGCAGCTAGTCTCCTAAATCCTGAAGCTATTAGCCAGATGGTTTTCAATCTTGTGGTTTTCTTCCCTTTTCATCAGTCACAATCTTTCTCGGTTGCCTGCATTGCTGGAAGCAGCCTGAGGAATTTGCTGCCTCTACCTGACCCTGCCCTCAGTCCAACATGACACAACTAGATCTTAGAAAAATAACTTTTTTTTTTGTAATTTTCTGTAAGCTTTGTATGTCACATAAAATATCAAAACATTGCCTTTTCCAGATGGGAAGTTGATCCAGATTATTGTGAAGAGGTTAAACAAACACCCCCGTATGACAGTGGGACCAGAATTCTGGATATAATGGATATGACAGTTTTTGATTTCCTAATGGGTATGTTTCATCTCTTTCAAAAATTAAATGCAACATTTAATTAGAATAAGAACCATTTCTTTCTACACTGCTTGCATAGCTCAGCAGTTTGCTAAAGCGTGGCTGAAGCTGCATTTACTGTATGTGCCATCCTAGATGATTATGAGAAAATGCAGATTTACATGGTTATGTATTCCCATCAGTGCAGATTAAAGGAACAAAGATGTTCAGAAATGCAGAGTGATGATGAATGCAGGTCAGGCCAGTCTCCTTCACAACAGTGAAGGGCTTCACAGTTTGCTTTAGTGAGTGCTTTACCACTGTAATGTATGGCTCCTGGAGGCACATGCAAGGACTGCTCATTGCTGGAGCTTTGCATCCTGCAGCGGTGTTCTCTGCTCCTTGCTCTATAAAATGTCGGGGAGAAGGGGGGGAAGAGGCATTGCTTTGTCACAAAGGAAGCTGTGGTATCTATCAGGAAGGTATTATTTGCTTATGCAACAAAATCAGAATAAAATAAATATTAACAACTGGGTAATAGTGACACATTCCAAGCCCAGTCATTGGTTAACACTGAGACATTCTCATATGAAATCTGTTCTGCTGTAGCTAATACACCTGTAAGTTGCCAGCCTGCACACTTGATCCTTGGGCACATGCCAGCGTGGACATATCCTCTGCCACTGCCCCCACTGAGATTTCTGCAATAGGCTGCAGCAGGAGAGGCCAAGTCACAGCTCAGGAGCCATATGTGGCATCTATAAGTAGCTCCAGACCCCTGCCATGAAGACAAAACTCACAGCTTGGCAACCAGTACTCTGCACATGGACCTTAAAGAGCAGGTCCCACGGCTGCCTGCCTTGGTGCCCAAAGGGGCTGTGCAGCTGTACCACTGCAGAACCATCCTGATCCATTTGTTAGAGCCATGATACTGTTTTGGCCTTCCAGGCAGTCAGAAATTTGGACAAAGTTCTTAATAGAGGAAAACCAGGATGTTTGGTCGGGGTTCAAAAAGTTTAATGCAATATTAACAAAGTCACATGGATTAACAGCCCTGCTTGAGGCATTTGCTCCTCCCTAAGCCAAGGCTTATATGTCACATGTGCCGTGGCTGCTTCACACACCCTGCTGACCCCAGGCTGGAGCAGCAGGACTCGTTTCCACCATCTTCCAGCATCACACACTTTGGGGTATCCATGGGAGAAGCAAATGAGCTCAGTAAATCCATTCCTTTCCCTGCCCTTCACAGCCATCATGTGTGAGGAGCATTGGGCTTCTCACTGAACTGAGGCTTTTGCATTGCCCTAACCTGCAGGTTCAGCAGCAAACCAGAGTGAGAAAGACCTTTTTTCCTCTTTATTCCACAGGTAACATGGATCGACATCACTATGAAACCTTTGAGAAGTTTGGAAATGAAACGTTTATTATCCACTTAGATAATGGAAGAGGGTAAATATCTTTAATAATCTTTCTGGGGGAAAAAAAAAAAGAAAAAAGTGAGTCTTTAAAACAGCCTTTGTCACGTTCTTGCTCTTATCTTTAAATAGGTTTGGAAAATATTCCCATGATGAACTTTCCATATTGGTGCCTTTAAACCAGTGCTGCAGGTACGTTTCACCTCTGGAGTTGTTTCCTGGTTTATACAGTTGTTTCCACTAACAGGACTGAAAATTTTCAAGTGATTCTGTTAATTGTACACCATGGAGATGAGGACATGGTGTGATCCTACCCATGGAGCCTGACTTTAGCTGTCCCTGAGCATTGGCATTGACACATTAAATGCTCTGTTGAGATCAGGACCTTGCAGGAGCGTAGCTATGAGCTGTCAGAAGAGAGGCTTGAAGACAAAATATCCACAGAAGTCAAGTGGCAAAACTTATCCCAGCTGGTTCAGGTGCTTCACCACAGCTTTCCTTGGTGCCCATGGCCAGGGTTTTCAGAGAGAACAGGTAATATTTTGAGTTTCAGCTTTGCACAGCTGAGATGCAGGGTGAGCTCTGTGTCTGGGGAGTCTCTTGGGCATCCCTGCAGGGTGAGCCTGAGGAGCCTCCACTGCTGTCACTCATCCCCCTGCTCAGTGCCATGTGTGTCATTGCCAAGATGGACATGACCCTGTGAATGCTGCACCAGCTCCTGTTGGTGCCTTTCCCAGCTGAGGAACACGAGGGCTGCCTGCACTTCAACATCGAGCTGTGCTCCAAAACCTCTCCACCTCCAAGGGCCCCTGGGGATCACTGGCCAGGTGACAATGCCAGCTGCTCATTAGGACTGTGACAGTGCCTGGTTCTCAACATTTCAGATCACATAATACACTCTTTACACTGTTAATGCAATTCTGACTATAAGCCTTTTAGCCCTGTCAAGACCAACGGTGATGAAAATACTGATTTGCATTTTTTCCTCTCCTTTTTCTCCTAGAATAAGGAAGTCTACCTATCTGCGATTACAGCTGTTAGCCAAGGAGGAATACAAACTCAGTCTCTTGATGAAAGAATCTTTGCTAAAAGATAAAATAGCTCCGATTCTCTACCAGCCTCACTTGGAGGCGATGGACAGGCGGCTACGGATTGTCCTCAAGGCTGTTAGTGACTGCATAGAAAAGGATGGTTATGACAATGTGGTTGAAAATGACTTTAACACTGATGTTAACACTGTTACAACCGAGAGGTAGTGAAATCGCAAGACTACGTTTTTACCAGCCGAGTAAAGAAGATTCAAAGAGGAAAAAGAAAAAGAAAATAAAAATTAAGTCTTGCAAAAGACTGTGTATGCCACTTTGTGAATTCAGTGAATTCAGAAATGAGATATAATTGTTCCCAAAGTAGGTAAAGTGTAGACTCTGCAAAGGATTAGTTCATTAAGAAAAAATAAGTCTAATGTGATGCTTTTCATTAGTTCCTGAAGAGAGATTATGAAAAGATTCAGAAAATACTCAGATCATTGACAGACAACAGTCTGATAGCAAAACACCTCCTGTCCTTTTTTGTATAGAAAGGAGGCCTTTACTTAATATTTTGTATTTATATATGGTATATCTATGAAACCCCAGACCTACCTACCAAATTTAACTAAGAGGGATGGCATAGTTTTGTGACTCACACTTTATTTGTGGTGACAGTCCACTTAGTATTTTGTGTTAACCCTTTAAGTGCTCTAATCCACTGTATCTTATTTAAATTGAATGCTTTTTTCCCCCCAGCTACTCAGCATTTAAAGGGTTAAGGCATTAAGAACCTTTAAAGGCAAAAAATAATAATAATTATAATAATTATAATAATAAAAATAATAAATACAGTGGTTACCAGAAGGGAATTTCACTAATTGTGCATTGACAGGAATACTTGAATGTTGGTTTTACAAAGTGATGTAAAATGACAAGTTGTACTATTTGTCCATAAGGAGGTGGCAGCTCTTATCTTTCTAGACTATCATAGCTGAGCTGCTACTTTTCAATTTTGCTTTTGATAGTTTTGTGTAAATATATACATATATGGGTAAAAAGCTGCTTTCAGCAGCTCTAGGCTTACTTTTGCAGCATTTTTGTGGAATTGTTTGCAACGTGGTAAAAGTGCAATAAAGATATGGCAAAATGTGTAGCCATTGTGTCTAAATGGATTCATTCATCTTGTTCAGAGCAAAGCTGTGTGCATCAGCCAAGTGTCCCAGAAGTGGTTGTTTAAATTGTCATCCCCTTTTGTAGCAACAGCAAATGGAGCAGAAGTGGGGAATTGGTGATTAATATACACTGCACCTCTGATAAGGACCATGGTGTTGAAATGGCTAATCTTTCATATGAAAGCATTGTTTTGACTGTCATTTCAGCAGCCCTTCCTCCAGCAATTATAGCTGTAGAAACAAGCTGCAGAGCAGCGCCTCTAAAAGATTATGGTTTGACGTGCTGCCCAGAGGATTTAGACACATCAGTGCCTCTGACTTGGGCAGCAAAAGCCCGTGCACAACCTAGAAAATCTCAGCCTAAATCAGCTAGAAACATGGTATTCTTATATTCTTAACCAAATAGTTTTGAATCATGTTCAGCTGCATTCGCAGAAGATGTGTGGAGACTTTCAGCCCCAAAGCAAGCTATAAATTGAACACGTGGCTTTATTTGACTTGTGAAAACATGGTGTGGTACAGCAGGAATCCCTTATTGCTCCTTTGGGTGAGGAGAGAATTTATTATGACAATATTCATCACCACTATAATTCAAAGTTGCCATTTGTTTCTTTTGATGTCTTTCTTCCCAGGGATTCGTAAACATATACTTTAAAAGCCTGTAGCCAGATAGACTAAAATGTGGGCCTTTCAGCATATTAAAATTATGAATGAGACAAAGAGCTGCTATACGGGCTCACTCACTTCTTAGGTTGATATATTATCACTAAAAAAAAACATGTCTTTTATATTTTATGGCCCATTTCAAATTCCCACATCTCTCACACCCATACGAAGACAACAGAGTATCTCAAATTGTACAACTGTACGTGAACTTGGAAAATTTCTGTATTATCCCATGGCTTCTTTTTCTGCTTTAGAGGACCGACCAATGATGACATGGAAGTCCTCTGCAACACAGCACTGGCACTGCAGCACTCTCCCCCCATGAGCCAAAAAAACCCCCCAAAACGCAGGATTATAAAAAGGTACTATCCTTGCTTTAGCCTCAGTGCCTGGCTGTGGTTTTCCTGCAGGTGCAGCTTTTTCTCACAATGAGATTGTGCCAGGACAGCAGACAGGGGCTATAAAATCACCTTCCTGGGGCTGCTCTGCGTTTTGCTTCTGTGGTCAGCTCAAGCAAACCTGGTTTCTTTTGGAAAGTAGCACTTGGCAGACTCCTAGCTCAGAGAGGAGCAAATACAGTGGAGGCCTTTGCTCTTTAGAAGCCAGGTGTAGGTCAGGAGCTCCTGGCAGGGTGGTTCAAGCTGAAGAAGGCTGCCTGGTGCTGTCAGGGATATGAACTTACTGTTATGAATCTAATTCTGAATTTCTATAAGCAAAACTAGTAGTGCTTTTATAGAATAAGTATAGTGTCTTATGGAATAAGTAGTGTTTGTGTAGAATATATAGAACTAAAGGTCGTTAATCCTTGCCAATGAATTCCAAGGGTCTCCAGTTTCCTTCCTGTCCTGAACTTTGATGTAGACCTATAAAAGTTAATTTCCAGTGTTAAATTAGGCATACAGAAAAGCTGAAGGGGAGGCTTTTCTTTGGCATGAGACATACAAGTATCTTGGAAGAAGGGAGACACCAGCTAACACGCTGGGAGGGTTTCCCTTCCTCAGTGCCTGTGATGATAAATTGGGGTCAATTAACGCCACCTGGGCAGTGCAGCCTAAAAACACTGTGGGGTGCTCAGGCAATTAATGGTAAGAGGTGAGTTCAGACCTCACCCATGGTCAGGGTAGCTGAGGACATAGGCTGAACTGGAGGATATTGCAAGGAGTGGAAGGGATGATTAATTAAACAGGCTGTGGAGTTGCTTCTTGGTATCCACCAGGAAGCTCTGGTGTGTTTGCATTCCTGCTGCCAGGCAGCTGGAGCTTTGACTCATGTTCATTTTCTAGGTATTTGGGAAGGGAGAAGAGTTATTGCCTTATTCTGCTATTTCTTTTTATTAGAGCAGGGGTGAGTGGGCACGAGAGACAGGAAACGAGATAGGGAGTGAGCTTGGGGCTCTACCTGTCAGCTCTTGGGGTAACACAGCCTTGAGGATGACTCTGTGCAGCCCAGGCAGAGGCAAACTCCTACTTCTGAGGTGCATCTGCATTGCCCCAAGAAACAGCTGGCTTGAAGTTCTTCTGAAAACCTCATGGGTTTGCCTTTAGGCAGAGGGTGTTGCTCTCCCACAGTGAAATACATCCTTCTACAAGAAATGAGAGTTTTCCAGCTCTCCCAGCAGCGGGTAAGGTTTGAGGGTGTCTTTGCACAGACACAGCTCATTCTTGGGGTCCTGGTGGGGAGGGCAAGGTGGGTTTGGTGTGCAGAGGTTGTGCACCTCGGCAGATTGCAGCTGTGGGAGATGATGGCTCTGAAAGGGCTGTCACTGTGTGTTTGGTCAGTAATCCACGAACTAAGGAGGATTAGTATGACAAGGTGTAACATCTCTTTAGGAGCCCTACATATTTACCAGACAAAAAGATTTGCTTTAAGAAGATAAATAAATGTCAGAATTCAGTTGGTTTGTCTCAGAGTCTCGAAAATGGGTGTAGCAGGAGCACCCAGACAATTAACGACCTGAGAAATCTGCGGTAGTTTGTCAGGGACATAATGAGTTCAGCACAATAAATAGAGTATGCACAATAAATAACAGATAAAAATAGATAATATACTTCTAAAAGCACCTAATTACAACTGTATCTGACAGCTTAGAATAGCTTACTGTGCTCTCCTGAGTAATTCAGATGAGAGCCTCATTTGCTTTTGCGGTTTTTCAGTTATTTAAGAATCAAAGGAAATTCACACAAGTTAAAGGGGAAAAGCTCTGATTGTTTGAATTAGATATCACTGTTGTGATCAGCAGAGCCAGGCAGAGCCCATGATGTATGTACAAGCTGGAAGCCTGAAGCAGATTGCAGTGTAAGCAACATCAAGATGTGTTGTGTAGGAGGAGAGAAACTCGGATTTTAGCCTGGCTGTTGCCTTTGGGCACTGAACTGAAAACGAACTTGTCTTATGTGGGTGTTACAGGGAAGAGTGTCCAAAGGGTATATCTGGTTCCAGCTAGTGAGCCTGTACCTGATACAGAGCCTGTATCTGCCCAAGGGGGACACCCTGCTACCTTCTATTGCAGCAACAGCATCGTCCCCTTAACACATCCAGACTCCACCTAAGGACTGTCCCTGCATCCAGGCTTTTGTGGCCCCAGCCTAAGAGTTCTAAGTTTCCAGCTGGGAGCTGGACATAGACTGTTGATAACTTTTCTTCTAGTATTGAATGTAAAGTTCATTTTCCAGAAATTTTTCCAGCTATCAGTTTTTCCTGTGGAGTTTCTTACGGGTGATTGTTTACTAAAATATTTGGAGCTCAAAAAGCAGAAATAAGTGTGCACAAGGAATATTCTTTTGAAACTGTAAATTGAGTGTTTGAAGGAAATGTTGAGTGTTCTGGAACAAGTTTTCACATGAATTTCAAGTTATTACCAGTTAGAAGCTGCTGAGTTTCTTGAGAATTATATTTTCATGCTAAAAGTCATTCACAGGTAGCCTCCAGCTGTAATTCCATCTGTGACCAGATCAAACTGAATTATCTGCTACCTTCTACATTTCCATCAGTAAAGTACCAATTCAATGCTTTTGGGGGCTGTCTAGAAAAAAAATTAGGAGCCATTTAATGTGTTGGGTCAAAAGACCTGAGAACTGGGGTCAGACCAGCTCTGGCCATGGTTAGAAATGAAGCATAAGCAAAGAGGAGGCTGTTGATTTGGCAGTACCAGTTCCTCTTCCTCTAATGCAAGGTCAAAGCAAAAGTTTGTGTTTAGAGAAGAGCTGCTGGAATACCTGCTGTTCCATCTTTTTAGACTTATTAAGCACTTTCTAAGGTTTTCCATTTATACAACACTGATATAATTAACGTGAAGAACTAAGGAGGTTCTGAGCAGTGTGGGACGAATGCCAACATCTGTATCCGATCCACTACATGAGGACTTAGGTGCTGGGAGATCAGTTCCTGTCTTTCAAATGACCTTACTATGCAATCAGCCCCTCTCCCCTGTCAGAAGTAACATGTTATGCCTTGACTCTTGCTCAGGTACAGTCCCAAACCCAAGAGCTTGCAGACGGAATTGGCAGCTTGAACTGAAACAGAATTATCTTGAAATTGGAGGTGTTGGACCAGAGCACTCTCTACTTCTATGAATGTGGGAATCTGGGTCACATTGTGCCTTGGCCACAGTAATGAATGGCATTAGGATCTCATCATAAATTCTTCTGATGCTTCTAGAAAGGTGCTCACTGACTGACAGACATATGCCCAAAACCACCTACATGCTTTAGTTGACCCTGACATAACTTCAAAATACACCCCAGGCTGGCCTAAGACAGATCCTACCTGAAAGGCAGACAATTTAAAATCTCATCCCCCAACTGCTGTACTAACACCAGCCATGTGTCACTCCAGAGGTGGTGCTGGAGTCTGCTGGAATACTGTGGCCTCTGTGCTCGCTGGAGCACCTGGATGCCTCCAGAAGGTGCCATAAATCAAGGGAGGACTACAGTCTGCCTGCATCTTCTGAATCCTCATACACACATAAGTGACAAACATGTCAGCAATGCAGCTGAGGAAGCCCAAGACAGGGAAAAGAAACAACTCAAAATGACAAAGGCAAGTTGATGGTCAAATCTATTCTTGTCAACACCAATGACTAAGCCAGGAGCAGCACTTATTGCTCTGATCCCAGGCTGAGCTTTGGAAATAGGGGACAAATTTTCTGATTTGTAAACTAAGCAAATCAGGCTATCCAAAACTGCAAGCAACTTCCCTTGTAGCTTTCCCTAGTAGTCCTCCACCATAACAATTCATGCAACATTGAACAGTAGCACCAGGAATCTTTGCCAGCACTTTATAAATAGCAATGATAAAAGGCATTTCTGGTTCACCC